TCAAGAAGAAGTCAAAAAAGTAAAACATGACACGGACAACGACGACGACGGACAATCACTCATATGATAAGCTCCGCTCGACAAAGTCGACAGCGGAGCTAAAAATGTTACGGAAAATACTGACAAAGCATAGTTATATGATTTTACAAGAAGTTTCATTGTCACGAATAACGTTAAACAATTTAGAAGATAAATAAAAAGTGCCAATCACAGGTTACGAGAAACCATCCCCCTCCATCTTAATACCTTATTTTTTAAATTTTTTTACTGCTATGTAATCAAAATTGAAATGGAGATACAAGTTCAATAAATATTCTTATTATACTGTGCAGGTAATGTTTATATCTTGTACATACATTGCAAGTTACAGACCATTCCATCAAAGCCAGTTTAATATCATTCTATCAATGTCAGTTTCAGGTTACTCCCTCACCGTCAGTCTTGGGACATTCCCTTAATGCAAATTTTATGTCAATCCCTAAAAGACAGTTTTGTGCAACTCCCTAAATAACAGATTCAGGTCTTCTACCTTAACGTTAGTTTCAGATTATCATGGCTAATCCTGAGTTGGGTATTGAAATACTGATTTCTTAACTTGGAATAAACACTACACATTTTAAGTAGAAAAATAGTTGTATATATTTACAATTCAGTCATATCAATTAAATACAATACCTATATAAATAAAGTCTGTCTGAAACTGATCACAGCCACCATAAATAAATAACCTTTTACCAGTCTATTAATATCATACTACAATAATTAACATAGCTTAAAATTTGCATAGACATTCAAGATGAATGCTGTTATAGCTTGTCTGTATGTCCCTCAAAAATATCCCGATATTAGTTGTGAATTCAAAGTCAATTTATTCCAAGTTTGTTTTGAAATTACCAAGTTCAAGTGAAAATTGTGCACAACAAGGCCAAATACAAGAGTAGATGTTTTGGGTTACACAGCCATGTTTATATTGTCCATGCCCACACTATCTTTGCATGACAACACTTGAAAAGTGGCCACTGAAGAAAACATTTCCTGTTTGTAATTGCATGCCGGACAATTTCCTCACACCTGTATTGTTATGTATTGAGAAAACTTATTTTCAAAATGATCTGTACAACATTATGGTGCAACATGCCCGGCTGCATCATGTTGACAACAATTACAATAATTTAAATAAAAAAAAAGATATGACAAATTAAAAAGTTATTCCTATCTAACCTATCTTCATTTTCAACACAAAATTGATCTATCAAGAAAATTACTGTAAAATACTTAATTTTTGCTTGTAATTAATTTTCACTATTTTCGCTGAGGGATGACTCAGTGAAAATAAAATTCAGCAAATATACTTTTTTTGTATGTTTACATACAACTTATGAAAATTCAGCAAAAATAAACTCCATACAAAAGTCTTTTCAGTGAAAATAAATTTTTTAAATAATTGCATGGTAAATTAATTAAAGTGGGAATGTTTGCACACACACTTACATATCAACTTGAAAACTTTCATTGGTGTTGCATGCGTCTCTGTCATTTACATTAAGTGTATTCACTACTGATTGGCAAATACAAGTGATTTTACTTAAATTCTTGCAACACATAAAATTCATTCACGTTTTACAAATTTTCTTACAAGATTTGAATGAGCTGTTAATAATAAAATGATGATTGAATAAACTATGGTCAACATGCCCTCATACATCAGTTTTGGAGAAAATACACTCCAAACAAACAGGTGATATCTCTGACATGAGATGAGTACAAGATAGACTGCCACAGGAAGTGCCCGAGATACAGCAATGGTGTAACAGATGTAAACCAGTGAATCTTGGTACCTGAGAAAAGATACAATCATAGCAATCTTATTTTCTTACACTAAAATAGTAATAAAGCACAATAATATGACACACAAAATCTTTCCGGAAATTACATTTTTAGATTAATACCCTGATATTAGTCACGATTTTTTACAATAACTGATGAAAATGTCAACCCATGTTAACTACATAGGGATTGATTGAAACAATGATATTTCCTCATATTTCAGTTTATAATTATGAATTGAAAGATAAATTTAATCCATAGCTAAATTTCATAAAACTTGGAATGCATGGTGTATATCATAATGTATATGAAAGCATTAAAAACATCAATCTGCTGAAACAATTTATATTGGCCGAATAATTGGAAAAGGACATCATTCATCTTAAACAGGATCCATGGCAACAATAAAGATGAATCTACTAAAGGGCAGATAAGAACTGGCAATATACAGACAATCTTGGTATAGAATCTGGAAAGAGTTTAAGTGCTACTACTAGTGCTACTTTGTTTCACAGTGTAGGGTGTGGGTCCCATACAACGCATATAAAATAGTTTACATGAAATACAAACATGAACTACGTAAAAACTGTTGAGCTTTAGAATATTGACAAGCACAGTGATGTGTGCGGTTGATGAATGAATTAAATCTTGCCAATGAAAGGGATACAAATTTGGTTTCTCATCATTGAGGCTGTGAGAATTTTAAATATTGCATCTCTGAATTGCGAGAATAAAAACAATTTCACTGATTGGTGGGAATCAATATCAGGTTTCATTAAATATGAGAAACTATCAGTTTGAAATTTCACACTTTTTTTTTCAATAGTGTTTCTTTTTTAAAAATGTGGACCATAGTATGGTCATTAGAACCACTATGTTCCTGTCAATATTCCTTGCAATATTGAAATATTCCTTGGCAGTGATGTTTGTTATTACTTTGTCTTGAATCATTAAACAACACTTATTTGCATATCAAAATTTCTACTATTTTTGAAAGGAATGTTAGAATTTAAAATGAAATGAGATGGAATAGTTGTGATTAAATAATATTTCATTGCGTAAAGTGTTTCCTCAACTTGTTTATAAAAATGGTTGTCATAGTGTTAAAGTCAAGTGCTGAAGTCAAACCATGGACAATGTTGTGAGTAATATTACAATGTTGCAAGGAGATTGATGGGGTTTTCCTGATCCATGAATGTATTTCACTGCCAAGGGGAAAACTATGCAAAATCCTTTTGAGTTGATTTCTTACCTATCAGCATAATGCCTAGCTGTATACGTAACAAGACTAGTGATAAATATAAATGGTCCAGTGTAGGTGGACATTAGAGTTAGAATAAACACAATGGCAGGTATGTACGAGTCCAATCCAATGTAACCAGCAGATATATCAACATTAGCAGTACTATTTGAATTGCCCTGTAATCAAAAATAAAATAAAAGTCAATACATTTTTGGATTGTTATAACTTTTGCTTAAACCTGTTACTGACTTCATATCCTAAGTAGCAGTTGCATTTGCTAAAATATATTTGCAATAAGTGTTCAATTATTTTGGGGACAAATAAAAGACGGCCGTCTCCAAATACCGATACAGATATCACCAACATCAACATTTTATTAGTCAGATCCAAAAAATAATAATTTTACTTTCAGAAAATTATTTTTGACCGTTTTATACCACAAATAGCTGAAATGATGGAAAAAATAATGTGTCTGCAGGCCATATTTTAAAGCCAGTTGTCACTTGACCTGGCCAAACTTCTTCACAGAATGTGAGACCATAGTACATTTATCAAAACGCATGTTCAAAATTGTGCAAAATTTGACAAGCATTATTGACATTTTGTTTAGACAGTTATGTTGTAGGTATATGAACTTGAGCATTAGAGTTTAAATGCAGTACAATATACACAATACCAATATTATTACTGTTTACTGTGAACAACCCAACCAGCAGTACTGTAATATATAACAAATCACCAGTGTTGAGGGACATATAGTACATAATATAAGGTTATTACGAGAATACCTCAAAGTATGCACAAAGACAGTACAGTTGGAGTATCGACCGATATGCAGCGGAGGTCGATGCGGTGGTG